CATGCGCCGCTGTGCGGCTGCTGGTTGGGCTCGAGAGAGAGTCCATAAGGCACAACGGAACGAGTGAGTTCCGTATGAACGATCGGTGAGCGCCCCCTAACATTATATATATATATATATATATATATATATATATATATAAGGTGGTACCGACAAAGACAAGGGAGACCGGAATGGCCATTTCTGGCTTATTAGCCGTCATCAGCCAGTCATACCCAACCCCAAGTGTGGATCACTTGAGATTCGAACCCGGTATCTTTGGTCATGGAGTTTGACGCACTACCATTGAGCCACGGGCCCGTTGTCCTGTCGGTTGTGATCGGGAATATAAATGATGACAGATGGGCGCTCACCACACCCCGAAATGTTGGCAATTTGTTATGGTGCGCAACTCCGATAACGCCTGCCAGAGTGCAATATGGCCCCCGTGTTGGTCCACGTGGCCCGTTTGGGGGGGGGGGCACTGGCAGAACGTAGATCCCAAAAGACCTCACTATACGCTCAATAGTTAAAGTAGCCACTTGGCGGTTGACCCTTTCGCGGCCACTTATGATGTATTCGCAAATGACAGGAAAATAAGAGTGTGTTTAAATGTAGAGCACGCAGCCGCACCGATTAACAAATCCAACTTTTTAACTCGATGAAACGTCTGGTTTGATAAAACAGCGTGCTTGTTACACCCTCTTTCACCTGACATATGCGGATTAAAAAATCCATTTTTGAAGTGCGGCAAGATTTGTTTGGTAAACCCCTCCGTTGAAGTTTACTACCCTCTTGTAGAACAGACACAGATGCGCAAACATATTTTAGGACATTTAATAATGCAAACAATTCCCCAAATATGAGGTAACATTTATAGCCGCTCGAATTAGTTTATATTTTGTCTGGTAAAAATACTTTAAAGCATATTTTGGGTAGGCGAAGAACACTTTCCGAGACGGGTATGACAAATACATAAACTGCACAGCGTTTTCGGTGCCCCTCATCGCGTTTCATGACTTACGTCACCATCCATACAGTAGGTGGGCTAACTCATGAAATGTCAACCAAAATTCAGAAATACGTTTTCGTTTCGAGAAGATTATTTAAGTAGAGTTGTAAAACCAGTCAGCCTGCAAAATAATTGTATAATATTTCAGTTACCGCAGGATGCCGGCTTTCGAAAGAACTTCTTTCCGACTGCATGCAAAAACCACACTCTGTGAAAAATGACTACTTACGTAGCATGCATTTTTCTCATTGATTTTCGATTTCCTTAAAAATTCAATTATAGTTAATGGAAAACATGTGCAAAAATGTTCATTATTTTGCTCACTCGGTAGAAAATTACGTCCTCGTCCAATTTTATACTCAAAGGAAGGGTATGATTCGGTTTTAAAAAAGCTTATAATTGTGAGATTTCTTAACACCATGACATGGCCGTTCATAAAACGTCATGTCTCTGCATTTAACCAATGTTGCTCATAAAGTTAACAATATCGCCTAAATCCACTGCTAAATTTTATGAACCCCACAAGGTCCTCTCTTAATACCGTAGAGAAGTGTATGGGTTTCCGTAAGCAGAAAATATGGGACTTGTAGTTTTGAAATCCTGAATGGAGGTGTAGCGGCAGGTCGGGTTCAAAATTAGTCGTGAATTTGAAACTTTTTAAAAGCCAAATTATACCCTTCCTTCGAGTAAAAAATTGGAAGAAGAAGTTATTTCTACCGAGCGAGTAAAGGATTGAATATTTTCATGCATGTTTTCCATGTAATACAATTGCGCTTTTAAGTGCATTGAAAATCGATGAGAAAATGCATGCTACTTAAGTATTCATTTTTACAGTGTGTGGTTTTTGCATGCAGTCGGAAAGAAGTTCGTTCGAACGCCGGCATCGTGAGACAACTGGATTATTATAGAATCATGTTGTTAGATGATTAGTTTTGCGACCCTACTTAATTAATCTTTTCGGAACGAAAACACATCTCGGAATTTCGTATGACATTTCACGAGTTAGCCCGCCCGCTCTACGCCCAACACTGTTAATGACTAATAGCAACAGCATGCGTTTTTTCGATTTTTTTTGTATTGCATAATAAAATTTAGGTGGTTTCGCGCACTTAACTCGGTGCTCTCCTTGAAAGCTGCCAAATGCACTTGAGGTGCCATCGTAAAACAGACTTCGTTGGGCATAATTTCGCGTTTTTTTCATGGAGGCACATGCTTCGCATGTCCCTGCTTCTTAAAAAATGCCCCTTAATGGCAATTTTTTCATAATGTCCCAAGAGGGACTGTGCGCGTCAAAAATGCCTACATCGTAGATCCAAACGTGAGCCTTAGATAAAAATCCAGGCACATATTTCGACGGTGTTCTGCTGGCGTATGACGTAGACGCCGACGATGATCATGACGTCAAACCCAGGTAGTGGTTTCAGATTATGCTGACGCACAGGAGAAAAAATGTGCGTCATGGATTTTGGACCACAGAATTAATCCTGACTGCCCGTCAGAAGGATTAATTTATATTTATGACCATCGTTACTCATCCTCCTCGTCAGAGTCATGTGATAGAAATGCGACGGCAAATTAGTTGGACTTATTTCTGTGTGTGTGCAGTTAGCCCGATGAAGAATGTCTATGCATCAAACCATTGACCTTTCCAAGGCAAATTAACTCCAACAAGGCGGCAGCGGTCACGAACAGACGGCAACCTGTCAGACCGAACTCAGCTGTGAAAGTATCGACAGGAAATGCGGGTGGGTTGATAAGTCGGCGTTTCGAACGTGTGCTGCGTTTAAACGTTTATCCGCTTCGGGGAGCCAATTAATGGATGGAGGCCCACTTTTATGAATACATACTCGACCTGTAGTGGAAAAGC